CACGAACCCGTGTCCCCTGCATCGGCAGGCGGACTCTCAACCACTGCGCCTCCAGGGAAGCCCTCAGCTTGTGTTTTCAACAAATTCCTTGAGTCCAAATCTTGTGCTGTCCGCACCACAGCTCGGATGGAACCAGGTGGCCCCTGAGATCCCTTTGAATGTCAGCATACTCCGGTTTTATATGGAAGGTTCTAAAAGTCCCTGAGACTTCTGAACTTTCAACTGGACTCTTTAGTGATGCGTCTCAAATTATGAAGGGTGTTTTGTGAAACTTGAGACCATCTCACACACGTCTGATTCCTGCATTCCAAACTTCAAGACTGGCATCCTTCACCCAACGTGTCTGTGTTAGTCTGTGGTGTAGGTCACATTTGTTTTTCTGTGACATTCTGTTGATCAATCCACAGTTAGAATTAACAGTAGAATTCCAAGTATATGTCAGAGATCTGCTCAGCTGCCTGAAGACTGCCAGGCAAGCTCTGGCCTCTATAAGGACCAGGTTAGGATAGGCTGGTCTCACCACATCCCTTTCTGTTGTTTAGTGTACTTTGGGCCACTCTGGCAGAGATGCTAACTGCAGGGGACCTTCAGAAACACAGCATGTAGGTTGATCTTTCACTGCCCAAAACTCTTTAGACTTTGATTCACTTCTTCCGGGGTCCTTCCTGTATTCATTCTTTCTCTCTCTCTCTCTCTCTCTCCCTCTGTCATTTTACAGTAAAAATTTTTTGTTGTGGTAGTAAAATACACATAACATAAAATATACCATCTTAGCCATTTAAGTGTACAGTTCAATAGTGTTAAGTACATTCACATTATTGGGTAACCAACCCCCATAACTCTTTTCATCTTACACAACTGCAACTCTGTACCCACTAAACAACTCCCTACTCCCCGCTCCCTCCAGCCTCTGGGAACTCCCCTTCTACTCTGTCTCTATGAACTTGGAATTTGTCCTTTTGTGACTGGCATATTTCACTTAGCATGATGTCCTCGGGGTTCATCCATGTTGCAGTACCCTGTTCTCTCTTTCAGATCAACCAGTTCACATTTGGCAGCCGGGTCCTTAGACAAAAAGTACTTTTTAAAAAGTACTTAGAGGGCTTCCCTGGTGGCGCAGTGGTTGAGAGTCCGCCTGCCGATGCAGAGGACGTGGGTTCGTGCCCCGGTCTGGGAAGATCCCACATGCCGTGGAGCAGCTGGGGCCGTGAGCCATGGCTGCTGAGCCTGCGCGTCCGGAGCCTGTGCTCTGCAATGGGAGAGGCCACCGCAGTGAGAGGCCCGCGTACCGCAAAAAAAAAAAAAAAAAAGTACTTAGAAGTACTTTTCCTAATTCTCTTTTCTTAGACTCATAGAAAGTCCAGGCTGGTGAAAACAGGTGTGGAGCTTGCCAGAGCCTCCCAGGGTCTTGGTTAGAGTTCATCTGGTTCTGACAATGATGACAGCTCATGGGTGTCACATGACAGATGGCATCATTATGCCAAGAGCCACCTTAGGGCCGGACGACCTGTTGACCTACAGTGTCGCCTTGGGAGCTGGAAGAACTGCAGCTGAGTGTGTGAGGCCCAGGGAGAGACAGAGCTCTGAGTCTCCGGCAGGTGCTGGTGGGATGGTAGGGCACTTCCCTTGGGATTTGCTGGCTCAGCTCTGGTCTTAATGATCAGCTGGATTAATGTTCTCAAATGCCAGTTGACAAACTGCCTTTGCTGGCAGGCCAGGCCCTCTTAACCTGTTGCTCGACTTCCTTTGCCACACGTGGGTTTGGCTTCTGGTGCTGAAGGTCATGAGATTTTGTTAGAGCATTACTGAAGTGAGACAGTTGTGGCACCAGCGTTGTATTGTTTCTGCTAATATGAGCCCACGTGTCTGTCTTTCGCATCTGGTGAGCCTGATTGCTTTTTCTAGCCTGGGATTTTGTCTTGGAGAGATTCCTAGTGAAATACCGTCCACAGCCTTCTTCCATGGAGGAGGATAGCTAAGGGTTTGGTGCCGAAAGACTGGAAGAGAAAGCTGGACGAAGAGAAATGAAATCGGGGCCGTTGACCTGTGTCTTTGTGGTACAGTGGGCTGGTCTTGGGCTGATCACTGACCAGCCATGTGATGACTTCAACAAGTCCCTCCATCACCTGAAGAATGGGGACAGGGGGTTCTGCCTTGCCTTCTCATGGGATCGGAGGATCCCACGGAAAAGTGTTGACCACTGTGCTCTGTACATGGTGATTTGGTATCCTGTCTTCAAGCAACGTGAGCACCATTGTAAGGTGATTAAAACCCACTCGGGTAGGTTGAAGGGGGCCCTAGTGGCCACTTCCCATGGCAGTGACTATTTACAAGTTCACTGGCGTTTAGGTGACTTGAGGGTGGAGAGTCCCCCATCCTCCTCTGCACAGGCCACCCACCCTCCCCTCCTTGATTTGCCACACAAATGAGTGGTTTCCACAGTGGCCTGAGATACTCCCACAAAGATCTCGACCACTGGCTTCTCTGAATTACTGTGGTTGCTATACATTTTTAAGTAATTTTATATACTTTTTAAAAGCTAACTTTGAGCTTTAAAGCCCGGTGAGCCAGGGATATCTGCAGATGGAGGAAGAACATCAGTTTGCTCTCTCCCCAACCTGTGGCCACTAGGCCCATAACCATTGGCCTTTCCACAAGCATTTCTAGTCTCTTTAGATAGAGTCACAAGAGGTTGGAGCTAGCTACGTATGACAGTAAGCCTCCTAGAGGCCATAAAATATGGCTTCTAATTTTTCTGTCCATGTCCAAGCACAGTTTTCCACAAGCTCTTAATAAATCCTTGAATCTCCTAACAGTTAGAAGATGTCACTTGGAGGGACCATACCAAAGAAGAGTGTAGAATATGGGGCCAGTGAGCTCAAAAGCTGTGCAATTAGCATAGCAGGAATCGAGCCCACAGGTGAATGCATCAGTCACAACAGGGGCTACATCAGAGCGGGTAGGTGGGCCAGTCCAGATCTGTCTCCACTGTGAGAGTGTAGATTACACCGGCAGCACAGCAGAACGACCAGAATAGCGATCGGTGACTTAGGTACATTAAAAGGATGTTGTAGAAATCTTGAAGTAGATTTCTATCATACAGAGAATTTTCCTTATCTACACCACTGGATTTACCTGTCCTCCGTTCCCCAGGTTTACTCCATCCCTGGCGTCTACTCAGTTTTCAGCCAAATCAAGGTCAGAATAAAGAGGAGATTTGGAGGGAAGTAAGCTTAGATATTCAGGCTCCTGCAGTAATAGTCAATTATCGAATTCTCCAGAAGCGCCAACTCCTCTATAATGAACTCCTCAGTTTTTAAATATCTTTAGAAATCAGGTGATTCAGTGTTGGCCACAGCCAGCTGGCTATTTCCTGCTTTCTTATAAAAATAAGATGGTAAAATCCCAGGAGCTGGCTGGGGTTGTTAAAAGATCGTCTTAAGCATTTTAATGCACATTATTCTTCATGCAACTTTGAGCCTTAACAGCCTCAAATCGGAATAGGACAGGAATCATACAGAAGAGAATCATACAGAAGAGATGGCTTGCTGCCATCATCCTGCAGCCCTGAGACCCCAGCCAGATCTCCTGCTGTCCTGTGCAACTCCTGGCCACTCAGAGGCCACAGCAGCCAGAGCTGAGAATCAGGGCTGCAGGAAAAGCCGTAGCTGAGATGCATTATCCTCACTTACTCTGAGTAGAGTGGATCCGAACCACGATAAAACAAAAGTTTTATCATTTACATCAAGGTTCATACTGTGTGTTTTCTGACACGTTTGACATTATTGTGGTGTATTTGTGTGCTGTAGCACTTTTCTTCCTCCTTCTCACCAGCCATGTAACATGTCCCCATACCTGGTGCGCTATTTGTACCTCTGCGGACGAAATGTTGGTCAACAGAATGTGTCACTGGCATTTCTCCTTCTTGTTAACAGTATTGTTCCCCTGCATCACTAGAGACCCTGATTGACTCTAGAAACATTCATTGGGTAGTCCTTCAGATTTCTTATTCTGTGTGTGTGTGTCCGTGTTTGCCAAACTTACAAACTTATTATTTAGACCAACTTTTTAATTTTTTTTAACGCTGAAGGTGATTGATGATGCATTAACTGGTATCATTTGCCACATTCTATCTTGGAGAAAGTAATTTATACTGCCTGTTGGGCTGGCTGTAGTAACAATTTTGACTAAGTGCTTTCTAACATTAATCTAAACCAATCCTTGATTTAGAATCACCTCCTTTCTACTCCAAGACCGGCTTGGTTATAAAGTTTTTCACTGGGTGTCTTAAAACAGTGAAAATGCTTGTCTATAAATGTAGTAAAGTGTCATTGTGATACATTAATCTTTCATCTTTTCTTGCCTCCCCTGTTACAGGACTGTGAGTGGTAACATATCTGCAAAGTGTTTTATGGGATATGGGGTGCAACATTTTAAGCCAAGGAATTGAAAACGGGATGTGAAACAAGAAGACAGGGGAGGGAGGGAGGGAGGGAGTTGATCAAGGTCATATCTGTATAATGAGAATTTGGTGGTAGAAAAGCCAAGAAAGGCGAGCTAGCATTTATAATGGGCAGGTGGCACTAGGAAGTGGTGAGAAACCTGCTGATCTCAGAAGACATGGATGGGAGTTCTTTGCCCCATAAAGTCATAAAATTATGAAGAAATTAGCGAAAGTTATAAGCTATGATGTTGAGCATCTGATGTGGCCATTTTGTTTACCTGCAAATGATTTCAGTGCCCAAGAGGGAGCAGGGTTAGGACAGTAACCTGAATACCCACATGGACGGGTTCTGCACGTTGAAATATGAAGCCCATTCATCATAAAACAAGACTAACGGTTTTTAAAGATACATTTTCAGAGGGTGTAAATAATGCATAATTGGGAAAGTGTTCTGAGGCCATTTTGAAGGATGTGTTTGGAGGAAGGGTTGTTTTCTGAGTGCTACTGAGTGAGTGTAGACAAGCTCGCCCTCATGCTGGTTTCTATTCTGTTTTAGCACATCAGGTCCACCCCTCTGGCCGGGCAGCACCTTCTTCAAGAGAAATGGAGCCCTTCTACAAGGTAGGTCTCTGGCAGCCCCCCCTTTCCCCCTCCCCCATGCCCACACTACTCCTTCTCTCCTGGTGTCTGTCGGGAGAGTTCTGTCTGCTGCAGAGCGGGCACTCTGTGATTGCTGTGGGATGGCTCTGTTTGTCCGGTTCTCTTTATTTCTTCCTACTGACGTCTCCTGGTTGATATGAATTGTCAATCTGAGATAAGATGGCTTCTTTGGTCTGTTGTCCCTGGTCAGATTCCAGAAGTGGTTGGCTTGCTTTGGTGAAATTGGAATTACGTGGCAGTTAGGATGCAACGATAGCATAAATTGGGCTGGTAAAATCAAACCCTGTTACAGATTTCCAGTGCTTGGGCTGTGAGGAATGTTGTGGGTGTTTTGGCACTTGGGTCATCGTGGAGATCCACTTGTTGCTTGCTGTGCCCTGACGTCCCTGTGTGCCTGGAAGGGTGACTGTGGTTTGTTCTGAGGCTCAGAGTTCAGACACCCTCCCTCATCCCTGCGGGCGTCATTTGCAGGGGGACATTCTTTCTGCTGTCCAGTCCATCCTCAGCTGCCTTGCGCGACTTCCTGTCCAATGCACTCAAGGAATTCAAACCACCTTTCATCTCTACTTTTGCTGTCAAGTTTCTTTAAAAATGGCCAAAGTCGAAGAAGAACACAGACCTAAAAATAGCAATGAGATGCACGCTAACTACTTTGAGAAAGTACTTTGGGGAGATGTCTGCTCTGCAGATCAGCTGGAATTGGCTGGCCCCCAAGTGTCTTCTGACTTCCCTTCCCCATTATCCTCTCTTGATTGGCTGGGTGTCAGAGTGGCACAACTGGCCCAAAGCAGATGGATTTGGTTTTGCCAAGAGCTTTGAAACTGTACTGGGCTTAGGGTGAGGAGTTTCAGTGCATCTTGGTTGGTTTAGAGCTGTTACACCTCTTTTCCCTAAAAGGTACACGCCCAGGGCCAGCCATGTGTGTGAAGGAGTAGGATATATATGTAGCTAAGAAAAGAGGCATTTACCTTCAGGTTTCCAGAGTAGCTCAAACAATTGTGAGAGATGTCATCACATTTGTGCTGTTGTTTTCAAGGCCATACAATTGTATGTTGTCTTTTTAATAGCCTGTGAAATTGGGAACTTCAGAATTTCTTTGCATCTTTGCTTGGTCCAGGTGAAATTTAGGTAGGCAGGTCTGATTAATCCTAATTTTAATGACCATCATAAATATCCTAAATATTTAAGAAAAGAAAGGGAACTCCCTCCACTCTCAAAAATTAATACGTAATTAAAAAAAAATCTATTCTGTTCTCCCTTCAGAAAGTGTAAATGGAGACCTATTATGATGAGCCTTTGGGGTTTTTCGAGTGGATTTCAAAGTTATGTGCATCCTTATTTTTCCTCTAGATCTGTAGCAGTGATATGACTATCATTCATGGTTGGATTATTTTCACAAAAGGGATTTTATTTACTTAGAGCATTTTCTTATAGGATTTTTATTCATTAAGTTCCATATTAGGGAAGATTTGCTCTAAGCATGTTAGTTTTGGGTTATTTCTGCAGGACAGAAGCATGAGGGAAAAATTGATAAGGTTTATGAAATTGAGTGATTTCACCGTGAGATTCTGTCTCATGGGTGGTAGACTTTTTTCTTTTCTACATAGGGTTAAACATTCTCCTAATTACTCTAGGCATTGGGAATTAAATTATTACAGATTTCAGATGCTTGTTGAATCCACATCCAATTCAATACATCCCATTTACTTTTTATGTACATGTTAAAATCAGAAGTATCGTGGTGAGAATTCTGGAGTGTGGGTGGGGATTTGCCAATGTTTTTTTTCCTGTTGTGTTTCTTCATTTGCTGTATCTGTATAGAGCGTTCACGAGACACTTACATTGTAATAAGGTTTTTTAAACTCTGCGTGTTCTTCTGAATTATTATTTTTTTAACTTTATTTTATTGATGTATAGTTGATTTACAATGTTGTGTTAGTTTCTGCTCTACAGCAAAGTGATTCAGTTTTTTATATATATATATCTTTTTTATATTCTTTTCCATTATAGTTTATCACAGGATATTGAATTCAGTTTCCTGTGCTATACAATAGCACCTTGTTGTATATTCATTCGATATATAATGGTTTGCCTCTGCTAATCCCAAACTCCCATTCCATCCCCCTCCCACCCCTCCTCCCCCTTGGCAACCACCGTCTGTTCTCTGTGTCTGTGAGTCTGCTTCTCTTTCATAGATAAGTTCATTTGTGTCATATTCTTGTGTTTCTCTGGCGGGCGGTACTGGCTTATCAAGAAGTTGCTGATGCCCAGGAACAAAAGTTTTACAGTAGAGATACTGGCATAGAAAGGAGGGAGCTGCCCAGTCATGGCAGAGGAAGGTTTAGTTAAGAATCAAGTAGAAAAAAATGTAGCTGACTTATGCTCACTTTCTCATCTTTATACTTTATATTTTCAATGTATGTCCACATTTTTTCTTTATGTCTAAAGCAAGCAGGAGGATGTTTTTCTAGATAATCAGACTAGGAAAGAACTCTGTTAATAGGTTCCAGCCACAAGGATTGGGATTGCAGGCCAGGAGGATCCCCTAAAAAACCCAGTTCCTAGAAGCAGGGTAGTAGGTGAAGCTTGGTCACACAGGGTGACACACGGACCCAGCAACCAGCCAGCAAAGCCCAGCTGTGACCGTGGGCCCTGACCACAAGCAGAACTGGCGAAACCGGACTGCACGGGGCCGGGGAGAACCTGCTCTGTGAAGTCACCCTACGGGTTGAGACTAAAAGAATCCAAAAGCAGCAAAATGAGCAGATGTGCCCCGTTGCTTCGAGGACAGAGCCTTGTTTTTGACAGGAGGGAGGGAACATGGGCCTGTCACTTCTTGGGAGAGTTGACACTTGTACAAGGCCTTAAAAAGTAAATAGGTGGGGGTGGTGCCGGGAGGGAAACAACCAGAGCACATGGGCACGAGAGGACCACAGGTAGAGAGAGCGATGGGGACTCTATGGGGTGGATGCAGAAATGAGGGCTTTGCGGGCACTTTGGAATAATGACATCATGTGCTCCAAGATGTTTTTCAGAAGAAAGCTGAGATTTCCAAAGAGGAAGTAATGGAAGGTAAAACCTGAAATCAGTGGAACAGAATGACCTAATTGGTACAGTGGGGAACCGACGTGTATTGTCTAATAGTAGTTTGCTTTATAAGCTGTTGAGCAGAGCGGTAGTATAGTTATTTTTTTCCAGCGTAAAACCAATTGCAAGAATTAACTGGAAGCACTCAGGTCCTGTTGAGGGCGGCCTCTGTGTTTCGGTTCTTGCAGATTCACTGGCAAGAGGGCCTGCTGAATCATCTTGCAGTTTTGAGGATAATGGGGTAAGATTTGGTTTGGATTACACCAGGCATGGGTACTTAACATAATTGGTCATTTCATCAATTCACAGTATTTATTTGATTTTAAATGCCATTTAGGCTGCTAGAGACATTTTAGTATGTTAGCAGTTTCAGTGGGTAGAGAGCACTTCAGATCTTGTACAATAGTAACCTAGCTGATTGCCAGAAGGGGACAAACCCTTCGTTAAAAGGGGACCCAGGATGGGGCCCAACAGATGAGTGTGGCTTATTCAGAGCTCTCAGGAGTGGCCACCTGACAGGTGTCCCCAACTGTCCCCTCTGCCTGTCTCTGTGTGTCTTGGTGGCAGTCTCTGTGTGTGAAATACATTTTTTTAACCATCTTTTTTTTTTTTAATTTTTACTGGAGTATAGTTGATTTACAATGTCGTGTAAGTTTCAGGTGTACAGCAAGGTGAATCAGTTATACATATACACATAGCCACTCTTTTGTAGATTCTTTTCCCACATAGGCCATTACAGAGCATTGAGTAGACTGTCCTTGTGAAGTACATTTTAAAATTTCTTAGGTTATAATATCTCTTATTTTCTTAATTAAAAGAGTAAACTGGGCTTCCCTGGTGGCGCAGTGGTTGAGAGTCCGCCTGCCGATGCAGGGGACACGGGTTCGTGCCCCGGTCCGGGAAGATCCCACATGCTGCGGAGCGGCTGCGCCCGTGAGCCATGGCCGCTGAGCCTGCGCGTCCAGAGCCTGTGCTCCCCAATGGGAGGGGCCACGACAGTGAGAGGCCCGCGTACCGCAAAAAAAAAAAAACCAGTAAACTATTTTAAGTTTTCTTCCAAACTCCCTGGCCCCAAACTCCCCCCTCTCCTTCTGCCACATAGACACACATATTCCCTTCACCCATCAAACTTAAAATTAGGTTACTTTATTTAAACATCACCCTTGGATGAATTATTTTAATGAGTCAGTGATTCCTAATTAAAGACATTCCTCACCTCTGGTCTGACCCTTCAGCGTCTGCTCCCTGGAGGGTGCATCCCACAGCTACGCATGGCATCGCTGCTCTTGGTTGCATCATTTCTTCTACTAAGAGTTGCTACGAGCTGCTGCCCATCCGATCCACCATGTCTGCCCTGCTTTGGCCTTCATAGGCTTTATAGGCCTCCGAGCTCCCCATGGAGTTTTGTTCAGAGAAAAGCTTCTGCCTTTACAGCTCTGAGCCAGCTGACCGTCTGGGCCTACCCACACTGCCCCACCTGCAAGCATTTCATTAGTCTTTGTCTCTGTGTGTCAGGCACTGGATTAGGTTGGAACCTCCCTGGGAGGCCCAGGGCCTGCCCCCTCTACCACTGACCGCCCGTCCTGGGGTCAGACCACACGTCCCAACCCTTCTTGCAAAGCAGCTCAAGCCCTGATGCCACCACAGGTCATGCAGACCGGCCCAGTTACCAACCCCCTGCCAGCCTTCCAGGCCCTCCCTCCACTTTTCTCCTCTCTATCCCTCCTGTATGGGGCCACTAATTATTATTAACTCTATTCCCATAGGGTGCAGGGGTGGAATTCAAATAAATTCCCTAACACGCATAGCAGATGCTTGTTTCTTTTCACTTCTGACAGCCCCCTGGATGAGCTAATGAAATGGAAAGAAGACCT